CCCCCCCCCCTTATCGCTGCCCCTGGGAACTGGCCCTGGGGAAAGGGTCGGGGACCTCCGGAAACCGGGCCCGCGCCCTCGTCCACCTGAATGGGCCCTGGGACACACAAATTACTCACTGCGTGGAGCTCCCCATATGTGCATCTCATGTTTTATGTCATGCCGTGGTGGGCGTCTGTTCATGAGCGGTCGACTACAATAGCGCGTCCACGTGGGCGACAGGGCCGACGAAGACGAGTGACCCCTAATGCGAGTGATTGCGTATGAGTCAGAGTGAGCTTTGAGTATGGTTGAATGCGAGCCTCTTCCTCTTCATCCCCCCTCCTCAGCTGCCAGGCCTTCCCCTTTTCAGCCCGTGGTAGCTTTGGAGCTTCCCACATGTGCATATGTTGTAGGATAGTTGGCAGTGGGATATGTAAGACGAGCGTTTAGCCACACAAGGCCATAAGTGCATGTCATGTTGGAGGATAGCGCCACGAGAAACAAGCAAACCGCCTGAGACATCCCCACAAAATGGCCGCGAACGAGCCCGTGCAACCACCCCTGGCGGCTCCCCTTAGGGGTGCTGAAACCAGCGCCCCGCCTGAGACATCCTCACAATCTGCTCTCCAAGCGAAGGATGTTGAGCCCAGAAACAAGCAAACCGCCTGAGACATCCCCACAAAATGGCCGCGAACGAGCCCGTGCAACCACCCCTGGCGGCTCCCCTTAGGGGTGCTGAAACCAGCGCCCCGCCTGAGACATCCTCACAATCTGCTCTCCAAGCGAAGGATGTTGGGCCCAGAAACAAGCAAACCGCCTGAGACATCCCCACAAAATGGCCGCGAACGAGCCCGTGCAACCACCCCTGGCGGCTCCCCTTAGGGGTGCTGAAACCAGCGCCCCGCCTGAGACATCCTCACAATCTGCTCTCCAAGCGAAGGATGTTGGGCCCAGAAACAAGCAAACCGCCTGAGACATCCCCACAAAATGGCCGCGAACGAGCCCGTGCAACCACCCCTGGCGGCTCCCCTTAGGGGTGCTGAAACCAGCGCCCCGCCTGAGACATCCTCACAATCTGCTCTCCAAGCGAAGGATGTTGGCCCAGAAACAAGCAAACCGCCTGAGACATCCCCACAAAATGGCCGCGAACGAGCCCGTGCAACCACCCCTGGCGGCTCCCCTTAGGGGTGCTGAAACCAGCGCCCCGCCTGAGACATCCTCACAATCTGCTCTCCAAGCGAAGGATGTTGGGCCCAGAAACAAGCAAACCGCCGGAGACATCCCCACAAAATGGCCGCGAACGAGCCCGTGCAACCACCCCTGGCGGCTCCCCTTAGGGGTGCTGAAACCAGCGCCCCGCCTGAGACATCCTCACAATCTGCTCTCCAAGCGAAGGATGTTGGCCCAGAAACAAGCAAACCGCCTGAGACATCCCCACAAAATGGCCGCGAACGAGCCCGTGCAACCACCCCTGGCGGCCCCCCTTAGGGGTGCTGAAACCAGCGCCCCGCCTGAGACATCCTTACAATCTGCTGTGTGTTGAGTAAGTCTCAGACTATGAGTAAGTCTGAGTATGAGTACGCCTGGGTATGAGTAAGTCTGAGTATGAGTAAGTCTGAGTATGGATATGTCTGAGTGTGAGTAAGTCTGAGTATGAGTACGTCTGGGTATGAGAATGTCTGAGTATGAGTAAGTCTGAGTATGAGTAAGTCTGAGTATGAGTAGGTCTGAGTATGAATATGCCTGAGTATGAGTATGTCTGAGTATGAGTAAGTCTGAGTATGAGTATGTCTGAGTAAGAGTAGGTCTGAATATGAGTAGATCTGAGTATGAGAGTATCTGAGTATGAGTAAGTCTGTGTATGAGCAAGTCTGGGTATGAGCAAGTCTGAGTATGAGTAACTCCGACAGGAGGGGAGGAGGAAAGAGGAGGAGGGAGAGGGAGTAGGAGGCGTCCAAGTAATTATTCACTGCGTGCAGCTCCCCATATGTGCATCTACTCGCATGGACCTGTCCGCCGTGATTGTCTAGGCGCAAGAGCTTTCGAATATTAACGGGCTTCAGTTGTGACGGTCTGGACATCAATCTAACTGCGAATGAATTGGAGTGTGAATGAGCCTCAGTAGTACGAGCGCGTCTCTGTGCATGAGCCTGGGGCCTCCTGGGGCCTCCTGAAACCTACTGGGGCTTCCTGGGGTCTCCAGGAGCCTCTTGGGACCTCCTGGGACCTCCTAGGAAGGTTTCGTGCCCCAGGAGAGGCGCAATCTATAGCAACAGACGTACATAAAACATTGCGGATTAGAGCCACAGGAGAAGGGCAATCTATAGGAACACGCGTAAAACACCAAGGACTCGTGCCCCAGGAGAGGCCCATATATAGGAACATGAGTAAAGCATTTAGGAGTGTGTACACAGGAGAAGGACCATCTATAGAAACATACGTAGAACATCAAAGAATCGTGCTCCAGGTGAGGCCCAATCGATAGGAGCATACGTAAAACACATGGGATTGGAGCCACTCCTGTTGCCTTCTGAGGCCTCCTGCTCCTGGGGCCTCTCGGGGCCTCCTGTTGCCTTCCGAGGCCTCCTGGCGCTTCCTGTTGCCTCCTGGGGCCTCCTGTGGTTTCCTGAGGCCTTCCTGGAGCTTCCTGGGGCCTCCTGGAGCCTCTTGGGACATCCTGTGGCCTCTTGAGTCTTTCTGTGGCCTCCTGATGCCTCCTGGGACCTCATGTGGTCTCCTGGGGCCTCCTGGAGCCTGTTGGAGCCTCCTGTGGCATCCTGAGAAGAATCTGCGCCCACGAGCCTGGCCACCAAAACAAGCAAACCGATCGAGACATCCTCAAAATCTGGCCCACCTGGGGGGTGAAAATGAACGCCTCGCTCGAGACATCCTCCAAATCTGCTCCGAAAGCGAAGGATGTTGAGCCCAGAAACAAGCAAACCGCCTGAGACATCCCCACAAAATGGCAGCGAACGAGCCCGTGCAACCACCCCTGGCGGCTCCCCTTAGGGCCACGAGCCTGGCCACCAAAACAAGCAAACCGATCGAGACATCCTCAAAATCTGGCCCACCTGGGGGGTGAAAATGAGCGCCTCGCTCGAGACATCCTCCAAATCTGCTCCGAAAGCGAAGGATGTTGGGCCCAGAAACAAGCAAACCGCCTGAGACATCCCCACAAAATGGCCGCGAACGAGCCCGTGCAACCACCCCTGGCGGCTCCCCTTAGGGGTGCTGAAACCAGCGCCCCGCCTGAGACATCCTCACAATCTGCTCTCCAAGCGAAGGATGTTGGGCCCAGAAACAAGCAAACCGCCTGAGACATCCCCACAAAATGGCCGCGAACGAGCCCGTGCAACCACCCCTGGCGGCTCCCCTTAGGGGTGCTGAAACCAGCGCCCCGCCTGAGACATCCTCACAATCTGCTCTCCAAGCGAAGGATGTTGGGCCCAGAAACAAGCAAACCGCCTGAGACATCCCCACAAAATGGCCGCGAACGAGCCCGTGCAACCACCCCTGGCGGCTCCCCTTAGGGGTGCTGAAACCAGCGCCCCGCCTGAGACATCCTCACAATCTGCTCTCCAAGCGAAGGATGTTGGGCCCAGAAACAAGCAAACCGCCTGAGACATCCCCACAAAATGGCCGCGAACGAGCCCGTGCAACCACCCCTGGCGGCTCCCCTTAGGGGTGCTGAGTATGAGTAAGTCTGTGTATGAGTAAGTCTGTGTATGAGTAAGTCTGGGTATGAGTAGGTCTGTGTATGAGAAAGTCTGTGTATGTGTACGTCTGGGTATGAGTAAGTCTGAGTATGACTAATACTGTGTATGAGTAAGTCTGGGTATGAGTGAGTCTGTGTATGAGTACGTCTGGGTGTGAGTAGTATGAGTAAGTCTGTGTATGAGCAAGTGTGAGTATGAGTAAGTCCGACAGGAGGGGAGGAGGAGGGAGGAGAAGGAGGAGTAGGAGGCGTCCAAGTAATAACAAGAACCCCATCTTAGGATATGGGGAATAACAAGAACCCCATCTTAGGATATGGGGAATAAATACACACAAATAACCAGATTCCCCATATGTTCCCATATTTTCGGGGTTTCTGTCTTCCCCCCCCTCTTCCCATATTCTCCCATGTTTTCCTGGGGGTCGACGATTAGATTCGTCTGCGTGTTTTTTTCCCCCTCCTGACCACCTCCCGCGCACCAGTGCAAGACCCGCCGGCACCGCACCGGAAAATCAGCTCGGGTCGGAAGGCACACCGGCTGGGACGCAGCGGCGCGGAGGCGAACAAATCGAATCGGAGCGGCCGCGCCCGGGTGCAGAGCGACGCCGTGCGGGCCTCGGGCCGCAGCCGTGGAGGAGCATGGCGATCCTCCTGTCTGTCTTCCTCTTGGTCTTGTGCTCCTCTCCTCCCCTGCTGTTGCCTCCATGCTGGCATGCACGCTGCTTCCATCGCCGTTTAGGGTCCTCGAGTCCTTTGAGTCTGCGGCACGCCGCGTGCAGAAGCATGGCAGCGTGACACATCTTGCTGCGTAGCATCGTTTCCACAGCTGGTATCTGGAGCATGAGTTGACACGCCTCGCAGTGAGTCCCCTGGAGCGCGCGATGGCCTGTCAGACGAGAGTCGCCCGCGGCCGCGGCTCCGGCGGTGGCGGAAGCAACGAGGACTGGAGTGCCGAGTCCGGCGCCTGGTCCCGAGGAGACGTACACAGGCTGGTGGGACTGGCAGTGCGGCCGCTGGAAGCGGCGAGGAGAGGAGCGGATCTGGCAGACGCCCTAGAACCGCCCTCTCGCCATGCCAGCCACCGCCGAGCAGAGCCCCAGAGCCGCAACGTGGAGAAGGAGCCGTTCTTTAGACCACCGGTTACAGAGCTCGGACATCCCAGCGACGAAGCATGGGATTTTACTCTGGAAGGCGCTGTCCGGTGATGCCCATTCGATGATCAACCACCTGACAGATGAGGAGCTGCAGAACCCATGGGCCGGAAAGACAATCCAGAACATTTTTGGGGCAGGTTCACAAGCACATGTCTGAGTTCGAAGATCAGGACGATTCCGGCACGACCGTCTACGGTCTTGACAGGGAGCGCAACCAGAGCCAGATGCAGTTCGCCAACATCGCCTGGTCTGCCTTTCTCAAAGCGGATTCCCACGGCGACCCACTGCCAGACCGCCGGAAGGGCATGATCTTCCTTAAGCGTGCCAAGACCCCTGGGCACTTGGAGGACCACATTATGCCCAAGACTGGCGGCCCTCGGAGGTTCACAGACATCCTGGATGCAATCTGGATGCTCTCCCGCAGGCCGACGGCTTCGCAGGCGGGAGCTTTCCTGGACGTGGACGAGCAGGGTGACTCCGAGGAGGAGCAGGAGGGCAACGAAGCCTCCATGGACTGCGACAGCGAGGGTGGTGCGCTCATCCCCCTGGACGACAGCGACCTGCAGGGCGAATACGACGAGGACGATGTCCTGTGGGCGTTGTCACAGTTTCGCCAGGCCAGGGGAGCCTCCCAGAGGGGCAGACCCCACTGAACGTCGCTCGGACGTCCATTCCCTGTGTTTTTTTCGGTTTCGTGCGCGGTTTTTTCGCCAAATGATCAAGGATGCTCCTCGACGGTCCTCGCCGAAAGAAACATGCACACGTCCGAGCGATGCCAAGCCAGGGCTACCGCCAGATCCGCCGAACTCTGCAGCAGAGCCGGATTTTGCCCGCGGGGGTGGTGCGGCGGCGCTGCCGGCAGGATCCCGGGCGGCCGCCCAAGGGCCGCGGGGTGCCGGCGCAGCCGCGGCCGCACCCGGCCACACGGCCGCCGCAGGGCGTCCGACTGAAGCCCGTCTCTGCTCTCGAGGCTCGCGCGCGCTGCAAAACGTGCCACCAGCTGCGGCAGTGGTCTGACCAGTGTCCGAGCCAGCAGCAGTCGCAGAAGGAGGCAGGGGCCCGGGCGGCACTTGTCTCATCCACCGAACCAGAGTCGCTCTTCTGTGGCATGGTCGCTTCCTCGTCGCAAGTGGGCCGCAAGGAAGACCGTAGTGCTGAACTCAGCGCGCGGTCTCCTGAGCAGGAGAGCCCAAACTGGGACGGCGAGGACAGCGACGGCGGGTTCGAGCTGGTAGACGAGCAGCCGCCAGAGGAGGTGCCCACGGCGCCTGGCCTGGACGCCGAAGAAAGTGAGTGGCTCGCTAAGAAGCGGCGCCGCGCTGCCGAGACTGGCCGCGCAGCCTTCCAGAGGATGGCCAAGCGCGCCGTGGTGGACGGTATCGCGAGCGACATCTGGCGCACGAAGGACTTGTTGAAGAAGCGCCAGGGAGACCAGGAATAGCTCGCGGCCGACCTCGAGACACTGGAGGTTCTGCGAGAGCAGCACCAGGCCCCCGCGACCGGCGGCGGCGGCGAACCTCCATTCGAAGACTGGGACGACCAGATGGACCGTGTTCGAAGCTACGCAGGCGGAAGCGTGCCGAGGCAAAGCGGTGTGCTGGAGCAGCGGACAAGAGCTGCAGAAAGGCTGGACTTGGAACGCAAGTGGCACAACAAGCACGACTCGGTGCTGCAGGAGGGCGACTACGTCGTCCTGAAGGACGGCCTCACGGGTCACGTCGAGGAGGAGTTCGTCACCTCCGAGGTCGTGCAGGACAGCCACGGCAGGGAGGTCGAGGTCGCCCCTTCCTGGGTCCACGACGACGCCGCGGACGAGGCGGAGTACCGCAAGATGACCCGCGCAGAGAAGCACGACTTCCGGGCAGACGGCTGGTGGCGCGACCCCGCGCAGGCTGGCGTCGACGACCGCCGGGAGCCGCAGCCCGCAGCGGCAGTGGGGGATGCCCAAGAAGGTCTTGACCCCGCAGACGAAGGCTGGCAAACACCGCCGCCCGCGGGAGAACAGGAAGGCCAAGACGCTCCGCAAGTGGGTCAGCACAGGGAAGGCGTGCTTCGCTGGCAACAAAGTGCCCGTACAGCCACGACGTCGACGTCGATGGTGCGCCCGCTGCTGGGAGTGGCGCTGCGGCGGCGTATGTCGAGGTCAGCAGCATTGCGTTAGGGCCCATCCATAGTTGATCCAAGGCGCGAAACCTCCCCCAAGGGGAAGGAGTCAGGACCTCTGGGGCCGCGCATGGCACAAACATCGCATCAGAGGACGTCTGGGTCGGTCTCGCACCGACCCGCGCTGTCCGCGCAGGGGCAGGAAGAGGTGCCCCAAGCGATCGCACTCGGAGCCATCGCCCCTGAAATTCGCGTGCAGACGCGCGGTAAAACAAGGCTAGGATCGGGATAAAGCGCTCCAGAGCGTTCTGGAGCGCTCTCAGAGCGTTCCGGAACGCTCTGGAGCGGCCGCGGCGCCCAATACATCCTCCAAACCCGCCGATTCTCAGAGATTTCGAGTTATCCCGATCCGATTTTGTCCCGATCTTCGCGTCGTTTGACGCGGTGCCCGTACGCAGAGAGGTGCTCCAGACGATCGCCTTCAGAGCAATCGCCTCGCGAAGCGGTCTGCGGACCGGCCGCGGCGGACCGGGCCCCTGACGGCGCACGGAGCGGAAGCGCGCCGGGGCAGACCCAGTGAGGCGGGCAGCCTGAAGGCACTCCGGGCGATACTGCAGTCTTGGCTCTGCCATGCTGCTTGCCCAGACATGCGATGCTTTTTCTCCACGCGGGGTCCTTCGGAAGTCCCGACCCTTTCCCGCGGGGCCAAGTGACAAGTCCTGGACAAGGAGGAGGAGGAGGAGGAGGAGGAGGAGGAGGAGGAGGGCAGGGAGTGGCGGAGGCAAGTCCTTCTGATTCGTCTTGTTGACAAGTCCCGGGTCCTGGGCAGTGCCCCCAGTGGCCACCAAACAGGCAGCAGTCGTCTGTCGTGTTTTGTTTCTCTACGCGAGCGCGGGCCCCAAGAATACACACCACTACCACCACCACCACCTCCATTCCCCCATCCCTCCTCTACCCTCATCTTCCTCTCCCCTCTCCTGGGAAAGGGCTGGGGTGAGGAAGGTGGTGCTCGTGCATACCCTGTACCCCGTCAAGCATGTCTGGGGGGAACGGGGGGAGGTGACGATACACACACACACACACACACACGATACTCCAGATTTCGCAATAAAGGGAGGGGGGTCTCATTTCGGAGGGGGGTCTCTTCCAGGCTATCTTGGAGGGCCTGGGGGGTCTGGGGACGATGTTTTGGAGGGTTCTCCCACGGGGGAGGTCTGAAATGGCTTGTCTTGGAGGGTCCAGACCCCCTCCCTTTTATTACGAAATCTGGAGTACACACACGAACACCCACACGAACACGAACACACACACACACACACACACACGAACACACACACACACACACACACACACACACGAACACGAACACACACACACACACACACGAACACGAACACGAACACGAACACGAACACACACACACACACACGAACACACACACACACACACACACGAACACACACACACACACACACACACACACACACACACGAACACACGAACACACACACACACACACGAGCACACAAACAAACACATGCACACACACACACACACAGCTCCGTCTTGCCGAGGCAGCGGCTCGTGCGGCCCGTGGAGGGCCGATCTGCGTCGGCACCACCGCCGCCCTGAGGCCCTCGCGCGTGCTCTCCGGCGGGCTGCCACGCCGGGCTCTGGCCCCGTCCAGGAGGCGAAGATGGGAGGAGAGAGCACGAGGGCCACGACCAAGACTTCACGAGGAGGCATCGGTGCCGAGATTGCTCATCCATCACCTGGGTCGTCGCCGGTTCGCAGGTCCTCGTCGTGAGGCCACGGCCAGCAGAGCTGGCATGGGCCACGATCAGGACTGGCGTCGACGAGATCCCGTGGCACCTGGGCCGTGGCCCTGGCGCTGCTTCCCTCGAGCCAAGACCTGGACGAGGAGGAGGAGGAGGAGGAGGAGGAGGAGGAGGAGGAGGGGAGAGGAGGAGGAGGGGGAGGAGGAGGGGGAGAAGGAGGAGGGGGAGGAGGAGGGGGAGGAGGAGGAGGAGCAAGAAGGAGCACCCGGACCTGGAGGGAGGGGTCTGCTCACGCAGGGAGGGGCCCAGGGCAGCGACCCGCCCATACCCCTTGCGTCCTTCCTACCGTCGACCCCCCGAGGTCCCAAGCCCGTCCCCGGGCCTGGCTTCTCGTTCTGGGTCGTCCTGCGGACGGCCCCGAGGCCCTGCGAGGGGCCCCCCGAGGCCGAGAACAGCGAAACACCTCCCGCCGTGGCTTTTTCATGACTCGCCATCGCTCGGACGTCCATTCCCTGTGTTCTTTTTCGGTTTCGTGCGTGTATTGCTTCGTAACGTGAACAGAAATGCTCCTCGATGGCCCTTGCGGACACAAAATGCACACGTCCGAGCGATGCCAAGATGACTCGAGGGGGTCTGGGAGGGGCGGAGGAGCCAGGGCCGGGAGGGAAAGGGTCGCGCGCGCGCGGCACGGTCTGCGCGAGCAGTTCTGCGGCTCGGTCAAGGAGTCTGGCCGCCCCACCGGCGCGGCGTCGAAAGGGGCGTGCAGCCCGCCAGGCTCAGCGCGCCCACTGCGGCGTGGGGCTCCTGCGTCGGCAGGGGCTGGACCCGCGGAGTGAAACTCTGCCCGGTCCTCGTCTTGGCGGGACAAACGCACAGAGGGCTCCCAGCACACCACCACAGGGCTGGGCCTACACGCTGTTGTTCGTTATGTTTTCGTCTTGTGTCTCGTTCTGCTCTACCTTCTCCCCCGTGCCTCCCTCCACAGACGAAAGCAAAACACGGCCGAAGTCCAGCAAAACAGCGTTTGGGTCCAGCCCTGGCACCACCGCCGTGCCTGTTCAGGGTCCTCCGGCCTGGGCTCTGGAACGGTGCACACGCCCTCCTGGCCCAGGCCAGGAGGGTTCCTCTTGGGGCCCGCGCGGGCGAGGTGGGGGACATCCAGGAGCATCGGATGTGCCAATGCGAGACCTCCAAAAACAGGCGGCTCCCCTGCCGTTCTTGAAATATTGTGGCCTCTCGGGGCCCTCGTGCAAGCCTCTTGGAGCCTCTTGTGGGCCTCTTGGGGCGCCCTGCGGGCTTCGTGGAAGCCTCTTGAGGATTCTTGGGGCCGTCTCGGAGCCATCGTAGACCGTATTGGCGGCCTCGAGGGCCGTCTTGAGGTCATCATGGGCCGTCTTGGGGCGATGTCGGGAAGCTCCCTGGAGCCCCCGTGGAGACTCGGAGTCCCTGGGCCCGGGGTCGGACCCCGTCGGACCCCGCACGAAGGAAGGAGGAAGGAGGCAGGAGGAGAGGGAGCGAGGAGGGGTAGGAGGGGGAGGTAGGAGGAGAGGGAGCGAGGAGGGGGAGGAGGGGTAGGTAGGAGGAGAGGGAGCGAGGAGGGGAGGAGGAGGGGGAGGAGGGAGGAGCAGGAGGAGGAGAATGATAAGGAGAGAAGGGATAAGAAGGATGGATGGGCAGCAGAGCAAACGGAGGAGATGGGAGGGAGGGGAGGAGGGGTGGGGGTCAGGGGGTGTAGAGGCGGAGGTGGAGGAGAGGGAGGAGAGGGAGGAGAGGGAGGGGAGAAGAAGGAGCGAGGGGAGGGGGAGATGGGGAGGAGGGGATGAGGTGGCGCACGCTTCTCGTTCGAAGCCCTGCTCCTCGAAGCCTAGAGCAGCACGTCCTGCTCGGAGCCCTCCGCGGCACAGTCCAGCGGGACCTCGGACGTGCTGCTCTGCAGGTCGAGCTCCCGCGGGACCTCGGACGTGCTGCTCTGCGGGCTGCTCTGCTGGAGGTCGTCCTGCGGCGCCTCGGATGCGCTGCTCTGCTGGACGTCGTCCTCGACGAGCGGCGGCCCCAGAGCTCCGAGGCCCCGAACAAAAACCGGAGCGGCCGATTCTGGGCCAGCGTTCGGCCCCCTGCGGCCCTCGAGGGGCCCGGGGACCGCCAGAGAGCGGCCCAGGAGGAGAAACCAGCCGAGGGAAGCTGGCCCCAGACCCCCGGGGGGGTCCCCGCACCTCAGCGCCCCTCAAACGGGGACTCCACTAACGGGTACTTTGGCCAGTGACCCAGCGAACCCAGCCCTTCCCGATGTGGGCAAAGCTGCAATGCAAGAAAAAGGCCCTAAAGTGGCAACTTTCGGCAAAAATTCAAAGTACCCGTTAGTAAGTACCCGTTACGGTGCCGTTGAGCACCGAGAAAAGGTGGAGCGCCGGATGCCTGGGGACACGTCCAGAGCCGTGCCCTCCCGGCCTCGATGCCGGGGCGCGGCCCCGTGGCCGCGCGGCCCCGCGGACGCGCTCCGCGCGGGGGGGGGCAGCCCCGCAGGGGCGGGCCGCCCCCCCGCACCCCCGGGGGGCCGCCGCCGAGGCAGTGTGCAGACCGAGAGGCCGCGGGTGTGGGCACGCTCTGGGGGGGAACAATCGCGAGCCCGAAGACGGTGTAGGGACGGACCGCGTGGTGGCCTCGGAGTCCCCAGCGACATCACCGCGCGGTCCGTCGCCGCACGGCTCTGGGGCCGCGGAGGCCCCGGTCGCCAGAGACGCCCTCGGAGAACGACCAAGGTCCCAGAACCGTGCAGTGACCTTCGGATCCCCACCGACTCACCACGCGGTGTGGTCACGACACCGTTGGGGGGCCCCCGAAAAATAGTGGCATCTCTACGGCTACTCCCCGGACGTCTACAGGGTTGCGTTCTGACCAGAATCTCGAGGCGCACTCAGCCTTGGCGGCGAGGGAAGGGCAGCGGCAGCGGTACCTTCCTCCTCAGGACGCCTCCGCTCCCGGGGAGATCCTGCCCGTGTGAGCCCGGCTCGAAGTCGGAGTAGCACGACTCCTGGCTGAGGCCTCGCCGGAGCCAGGCGTCCGCGCCTCGGCGTCTGCCACCCCACCACGCAGGGCGATCGCATCGGGGCGCCAGCCGGATTGGGAGGAGCCTGATCCCCGCCCCGACACGTCGCTGCACTCCTCCTCCCCCCCCCCCCCCCTCCTCCCCTCCACCCCTCCTCTTTCTGCTCCTTCTCCTTCCCTCCTCTTTCGCCTCCGCTCCTTCTCCTTGTGCACAACTCCCCCTGTCGCACCCCGAGGCTGGTCGAAAGGGCGGGCCGGGCGGTTCGCCAGAGACTCCTTCGCAATCGACCACCCCGAAGCTCGACGTCTGCAACAGCTTCACGGATGGAGGGCGGCCCGCTTTCAGAATCTAGGGCTCCCAACTTCGCGCTTCGCGCTCCCCGAAGCGCGAAGCGCGAATAACTTCGCGCTCTCGCGCCGCCCTCCCAAAGGGAGAATAGGAGGACGAGGAGGAGGGGGAGAAGGAACGAGGACCGCGAAGCGCGAAGCGCGAATAACTTCGCGCCCTCGAGGGAGCCCTTGCAGAATGTGGCTCTCGCCCGAGCTCCGCGCGCACTCGCCTTCACCAGCTGTAAGGGCTTCGCGGATGGAGGGCGGCTCGTCCTCACAGTGCGGCTCTGGCCTCGGCGCCGCGCCGTGCTCTCTGAAACGGCTACGAAGGCTCCACGGGCGGAGGCCGGCCCGCTCTCGAGAGGTGGCTCTGGCCTCCACGCCGTGCACACTCGTCTGCGGAGTTCGCAGAGAGAGGCTCAGAGACTCTCATGGTTCACATCCCGGAGCACGGTGTTTGTTCGGCATGGTGTCGGGCTGTCGGGGGGGGCAGCTGTCACGCTGCTTCGCGGTGCTGGAGTCCCAGGAATGGTGCTCTGACGCGACTCTGGATCGTCCAGTGGCAGCAATCACGGTGATTCGCGGCGTGAAAATCCCAGGAATGGCGGTCTGGGACAATTCCGGATTTCCAAACGGTTGTCTTCCAACGGCTGTCTTCCAAGAGGAGACGTAGACATGAGCGGCATGACGACGACGACGACGACGACGACGAAGAAGAAGACGAGAAACCCGTCTCGGAGGAGCATCGCCCTCGCATGTCGCCGGAACGAAGTGGACCTTTGGGCGAAAGAGCTGGGGAACATCACCCACCTAGGTTTGCAGCTGGGAGCCGCGGATGTCCAGGAATTGTACCCACCTACGTGACACAGCACCGCGGTAATGTTGCACAAGAGCAATGGACGGGCATTAGAAAATGTCCGCGGGTGGTTTTCAAACTGTGGCTCTCTCCGTAGCACCACGCACATCCGTCTTGAAAGTGTACAGGAGCTTGACGGACGGTGGGCGGTCGGTTTCAAAATGTGGCTCTCGCGTGAGCGCGGCGCACATTCGTCTCACAAGTTCGCAAGAGATTCACGGATGGAAAGCGCGTGGTGTTGCGAAATGCGGATCTCGCCTCAGCGCCGCGCGAGCTCGTCTGACAAAGTTTGCAAGAAGTTTCACGGATGGAAGACACATGTTTTTTGAAAAAGTGGCTCTCCACTCAGCGCCGCGCACATTCGTCTTAAAAGTGTACAAGGGTTTCACGAGTAGGCGGCGGGTCGGTTTCAAAGTGTGGCTCTCGCAAAAGCGCTGCGCACATTCGTCCTACAAGCTTGCAAAAACAAAACCTTGACAACAAAATGGATGGATTGCAGGTCGTCTACAAGAAAGTGGCTCTCGCCCCAGCGCCGCGCACATTCGTCTTGAAAGCTTGCAAGAGCTTCACGGACGGAGGGGCGCTCGTTTACAAAATGTGGCCTCGCCTTAGCGCCAAGTACGTTCATTTCAAACATGTGCAAGAGATTCGCGGATGGAGGGCGGGTGGGTTTTCAAGATGTGGATCTCGCTTCCGCGCGCATCCGTGTTAAAAACTTATAACGGCGTAGCCGTTTCTTATGGCTGACGCGCCAATTGTGTTCTGAAACGGTTAGGACTGTCAGGGAGCAACTTTCATATTGATTCGCGGTGTTGAAATCCGATGAATGGTGTTCTGACCCGATGCAGGATCGCCAGGACGCAACAGTCAAGTTGGTTCACGACGATTGAGGGTTCTCAGACGGCTGTCTTCCAACAGGTCACTTCCAGCAGTGGAAAAATCTTGCAGGGACAGATGAGGAGGGTTCCTGGAGGGAGTGTTCGTTGCAACGTCGTTGATGCGCCTTAGGCGTGCACTTGTCCTCCTCCTCGTCCTCCTCGTCCTCGTCCTCCTCCTTCTCCTCTTCCTCCTCTTCTTCTTGTTATGAGTAGTATTAGTATTCGTATTAAGCATACTCTTATGTTTATTATTCGTATATTCAGATTATTATTAGTATTAACATTATTGCTACTATTCCGCCTCCTCCTCCTCCTCCTCCTCCTCTCCCCCCAATGCCATTTCGTTCCCGTCGCGCTGGCGATCGCATCAGGGGCGCTGGAGATCGCATCAGGGGCGCAAGACTGGCCCGGCCCGTGCCGTCGGCTGCCTGCCCCCTTCGCTCGGCTGCCCCGCCGCTCCTAAATGCACAACGTCAGAGACTGATCGGAACGCCGTGTGTTTAGCACTGGCCGATTTCCGCCTGAGTGCTGCATTTAACTATGTTGAGCGGATGGATCTTTCAAGTGGTTCTCAAACTTGGCCACCGCGGGCGGGAGCTCGGCCGAGCCTACCCCCTTCCTACACAAAAAAGTATGCAACGATGTCGGCACCTGCACTGGAAAACCACTCCCGTTGACTGGCGGGGTGCGTGGGGCTTTATGACCTGAACAAGCGAGTCCGAAAGGAGAATGGGGTCCGACAACTTCCCCCGAGCAGTTACATCTCGCAATGTTGCCCCCCCTGAGTGGTCGTGTCTCACGCTTGACTGAACCCTACTGCGGGTGGACTCATCGAACTTTCCATCCCTCCACCTACTCCTGCATTTCATCGGCCTCCTGCATATCCTGCTCGTCCGCGTCTTCCTCATCCTCCTCCTCCCCCTCCATCTCCTCCTCAACCTCCTGCCTGCTCATCTACATCCTCCTCCGAAACTCCTCAATAACGAGCAGCGAAAGCTTAGCCAGACCAAAGAGGAGGGGAGTTGATCTAGGTTCGGTTAGGTGCGAGGGGTCTCAATCGACAGAGAACTCCATAACCAGACCAGAACCACTCCCACTTTGGTAGAAGAACACGCTGGCATAAACATACATATTCGGGAGTCCGCGCGAATTTCTTGGGTCGGCGCTGGACACCCCTCCGATGAGCTTGAAGCGCGCCAGGGGGGGCGCTGCCGAGAACCACCCGCGGATTCCCGATGGCTTAGGAGTGTGCCGTTTTCCACAGAAGCATCGGTTGCACTGAGAGTCTCTTGCTCGGCATGATCAAAGTCTGCGGCGAGCCCAGGGGGAAAGTGGGAGGGGGCAGGCCTTGTCAGCAGGTGGCCGGGCTTGTCCGAAGCTTTTTGTTGCTCCTTCTGAAAAGTTTCCGGGGTCTTCGGCGAAGGCTTAGACACCTGCTCAGAAAGTCCGAGGCCCTCCGAGCCTTCTGGGAAGGCCCGCCCTCCGCATTCTCCCCCATCTGGAGGGGGAGGAGGAGGAGGAGGAGGAGGAGGAGGAGGAGGAGGAGGAGGAGGAGGAGTTGGAGGAGGAGACAAGGAGGAGGAGCTGGAGGAGGAAACAAGGAGGAGGAGGAGGAGGAGGAGGCGGAGACAGAGAGGAGGAGGACGAGGAAGAGGAGGAGGAGGAGCTGGAGGAGGGAACAAGGAGGAGGAGGAGGAGGACTGTGCCCGCCGCCGAAGAAGCTGCGTGGAAGGACTTCGCTCCGCCTCGGTGCCCCGCCCGTGACCGCCCCGGGTGCCCGCCCTGCACGCCCGCCGGGCTCTCTGGGTGTGCGCCCTGCGCCCGCCCGTGGCCTTGGCGCCAGGAAGGCGCATGCACCGATCCTGGGTCAGGGATGGGCCGTGCCAGGGTCGGTGCGTGTGCACAGTTCTCTTCGCCCGAGTTCTGGGCGGTCCCTGCGTGCCCGCCCCGGCTGCTCTGGAGGGGCAATCGTCGTTGGATCTGGGGGGGGGGGGACCTGGACACGTGCCGGCCGTCAGACGGGGTGGAGGGAGGGCTGGAGTAAGAGGAGGAGGGGGAGGAGGAGGAGGAGGAGGAGGAGGAGGAGCGGGAGTAGGAGGGGGAG